AGGATCAGGAATACAAAGTCAGTCCAACCCTGTTATTGTCAACTCCAGATAAATACAGCGGAACCCCAGTTGTCATGTGATCACAGTGTGAATCTACTCACTTCATTACACATTCAGGTTTTAATGTACATTGTATGTCTGGATTTAAGTTCTTAATGTATTTTATTAATTCTATTGAAAACTTTATTCCATATTGCTTAAAGTGAAGTCTTGTGTGATCAGCCTAATCCCTGTTATTTACACCTGCGACAAGCATATTACCTTTTTTAAAGTCTTGAAATGAATGTTAGTTTATAACGGACATATATTTCATAAACGTTATACTTTGTGGTCATTAAAAGTTATATTTGTCGAAGCAAGACAATGATATTAGAAAACAGGTGCCCACCTGAATGCGATTTCCAGCTTTGGTTAGTCTAAAATTTTACATTGACCAAGTTTGTTATCCCCAGTTCCTTGAGCTCCCTGAAGGGAAATAATATAGTTTTTGATCGAGAATAGTTATAGAGGGCTGCTATTTGTGCGACCCCATAGAATTGTGATTATGAAGGCAATTGGCAAGAGATTCTGATATTCAGAAACTCTTTTTTCAAGACAATATATGAGACCTAAATGTCCACACAAATGAGGTTCGACTGTAGTTTAACTTATCCCGAGTTCAACACATCCCACTTGACTTCATTACCATCTGACGAAGTCACCAGGCAACAGAAACAAATGTACTGCACTGTCATTGTTACCATGGTTACATAGACATATTCAGATGCATTTATCATCGCTATAAATAATATTCAACTTTAATGAATTATACCACTTATAAATTCTACTCATGCTAAGCTGTGCTTTTCAAGACATTTGAGTACAGTTTATCAATTTATCAGGGTTTACTTTTAATCAAGGTCTGTCCTCAATTTAACTGTTACAAGAAATAACTCTGTACACCACAATCGCTTTCATCTGGTCAACTTTTGCCTCATTGTTAACAAGTTCTAAGGAAGAACTAGCGAAATGTGCAGACCAAGCAAGTTTGAACCAGGTCATGCAAACACTTATCTTGTCTGTCAAGCCAAATTGTACTGTCAAATTAAGAGATAAATTCTAAGTTAAACACAGCCAAAATTACTGTATCCAGTGCTACGTCTAGACAGCAAATGGGCACCTATATCAAGAATGAGGTAAGAAACTGTGGGATTCAGTACAAGTGATCATCTTTAAGTAGAATCTTCATCATTACTGTCAGCATCATATTCCATTTCTGGAGATCCATCAAGCCTATACCATGTGATACAGTCCTGTGACAATACTGTGTGGACCCAATAGTAGCCTCATTGTATGGAGTCCTATCTCACATCAAGATCATTTTCAGATATAACGTGTATTATGTAGTTTGTAAGTGGTTGTGGAACTCTTCAGGTTTGCGAGTGAAGGGGTAGGGTTGTATGCCACTTAGCTATATTCCAGTAATACCAGGGGCGGTGGGGTAGCCTAGTGGTTAAAGCGTTGGCTCGTCACACCGAAGACCCGGGTTCGATTCCCCACTGCCCATTCACTGTGTGAAGCCCATTTCTGGAGTTCCCCGCCGTGATATTGCTGGAATATTGCTAAAAGCAACGTAAAACTAAACTCAGTCAGTCAGTCAGTCCAGTAATACCATGGTGGGAGAGGCAAGAAATGGGCTTAATCTGTATCCATGTTGGGAATTGAACTGGGCTCTTTGGCGTTTGTTTGTTTGGTTGGTTGTTGTTTAATATCACACTCAGCAATATTCCAGCCAAATGGAGGTGGTCTGTAAATAGTCAAGTCTGGACTTGACAATCCAGTGCATGAGCATCAATCTACACAGTTGGAATACGATGACACGTGTCAACTAGGTCAGTGAGGCTGACCACCCGATCCTGTTAGTCACCTCTTAGCATGGGTTACTGAAGACCAATTCTGTGGCAAAACGGGCGAATACTTCAACCACTAGGCTACCCTACTGCCACTTTAGCATGTTTAGATTTGCGATGACCAATGGATATAACTTCGCTGACCTGTTGTTATTGAACCTGTGTTTATAAGCACATACAGCAGTGTCTCAGGCTTAATCTATAATTGTAGGCCTATTTTAGGTTTCAGACTAAAGATATCCATCTCGAGTGTGATTCCCAATTGTAAAAGCATCCACATGGAATATAAGAGTATCACTTAGGAATCAATGCAAACATAAGTGTAAATGTCTGGCCATTTCTCTCCTACATAATACTCATCAATAGAGAATGATTGGCAGCGCCCAGACATATAACTATACATCTTTCATCAAAATTTGTTCTGGTTCTTGCTTGTAGCAAAGGGGGGTAACTGCTTAGTGATTCTAATGTAAACCTGTTGATGCTGTACTGTCTGTACACAAACGATGATGCTATCTGGGTGACAACCTTTCAGTTAAATTTCAAATGTAAGCTAGCAAAGTTGGACATTGAATATGCAGTAAATGGACATTTTGAAGAGTCTTACAAAATGCCGAATGTATGTATGTATGGACAGTTTGAGAGATTAACTGGGTTCATGTGAAAAAAGCAATAAACCAGTTATTCCATGACAGTCTTCTTGGAAGGTTAATTACATCCTGTTCATTTCAGAAAGATGAAAACATGGCCATCTCTGTCTTAGCTCCATGCCAAGGTGGATACTAGTGTCTCAGTTGTCTAAAGCATTGAAATTTGCTCTCTGCATTCCTGGAGCAAGCCAGTCTAAGTAAACTTAGCTCAATATTATTCGTTACACTGCTATACTAAGTCTAACAAAACCTAGTAGAAGGTCGCGTCAGATAACCTGTAAGTGACCCATGACCGTCCAATCAAACGTGAGACAGCCGAACGGATTTAACCAATCAGACAACGACTACTTGTTAGGATTCGGCGAGACTTACAAAACGATTTTTGGATTTTCTCTTCCCTGGTCGCTGACACGGATCTATCAACAAACGAAAATCCGCATAAAACACAGATATTTGACCTGCAGTATATACGCTTATGGGTTTCTAATGACATATATTTTTGCACAATGACATCCTTGAATATTGACAAAAACGCTATTTTCAGCAACTGTTTACTCATTGCGATCGTGCGGAAAATAGCATTCGGAATCATTCAAGTTTTTTATGTAAACGTTCAAACGGTATGTGCAAATGTTAACTTTCGCGATTTGGTAAGCTGTGATCTGATTGGTCAGTCCAAAAGGTTATCTGACGCGACCTTTTACAAGGTTTTGTTAGACTCAGTATAGCAGTGTAACGAATAATACTGAGCCTAAGTTTACTGAGACTGGGAGCAAGCTTGAAACCTATGATTGTGGGTTTTAATGCCAGCTATGTGTTTCTAGGTGGTCTGCACCATATCTATGATTGTACATTTCATCAAAGTGATAAATGTCCATGACATTTACATCATTGAAAAGAAAATGGCGTTCAGAATTTTCAAAATTTGATTACTAAACAATAAGATAGGACCCGCCATCAACAGAGACGAAAGATACTACATTCCTAATGCCAACCATCACTTGATAAATTAATCATCTATAATTCATAATTATATTTCTTGTGTACATCACCTGTTTCTATACAACATGTCATACAAGCTATGTACATCAACCCCATCCACTGTATAAATATTTCCTGTCTTCCTATCAACTGTATAAGCTTTGATTCAATCATTGTATGTCACCTAACTGGCTTCCAATCACTTACTCAATCTCCTATACAAGCGTTGTACATCAGCCTCATCTATTGTATAAACAACTCATCCCCAATCTACTGTAATACCAAATCATGTATATATTCTCTCTATTTATTTCTCATGTATCACTTGCTTGACGACATTAAAATCTATGTCGAAACGTCGCCTTTCACAGAATAAAAGTTACTAAAGAAGTTGTATATCCATAAAAATTGTCATCAGTCTTCATCAACTCAACTTCTTAAATGCACATCAAAGAAGTCATTTTTATGCAGGCAATGCGTGTGCCGCCTTCCTCATACCTACATGTGATTATGATGATCCTTGTTACAATTACAGTGTCTCCCTCAAACTTTTCTGTCACAAAATCACCCAATACATTTTGTCAAATACCCCACCATACATGGATAGAAATGAACTCCACGTCTAATGAGTGGATCCATTCTCACTTCCTGTCCTTATGTGCTGATTCTTTTCAACATGGAATCCATCAGCTTATGAAAGTGATGAGTGTGCCATATGGCATCGTGACCACAAGGTCTCCATTAGTGTCCAGTACCAACGACTCCTTTCCCATTTGCACTGCACTATGTTTAACTCTTGTGGACATAGGTCAGAACTGTCTGCTTGTCTTGTGACATGCAACCTGTGGCAAAGATCGACCTTACAACATGTTGTGGTGCAGAATTTTAAAGTTGGTCAGAGATGATCAATGTGATCGCAGATCCAGTTGATGAATGTACATTGACGGAAAAGCAGAGTATGGAACTGTGTATAATCCTTACATGAATGGATTAATAATAATGTTAATAATATGATTACATTTGATGTGATAAGTGTTTGAGTACTGTCAACCAGGCTATGTAGCCTTGTAGATGGTATGATAACCAGAAATGAAAACTTTCAGTGCTTAGATTGTGATCCCATAAATGGGAGTTAACTGAATCCGTGCACAAGTTTTATTTAGCAGAATCTGTGCCGTTATAATTTTATTTTTATTTTTTATTATTATTATTTTATTTCTCTATTATTTAGTAATCGACGGTTCTTATGAGTATTCTTGTCAATACAAATATAAATTGTGAAATTGGGGTTTTCGCGTTTATACGTTCGGAAAAGCAGAGTTAGGAGAAAGACTACTTAGACTATACACGGATATATTCTACACGTTAATTTGATCGGACCCTAATCCCTTTTGCAAAAACAGAATGAGCTGCGGGGGAAAAGAATGAGAAAGATAGTTCTAGCAAGAAAAACAGTCATACATCTGATTACCTTACTTACATAATTTATAACCGGAACTGAAATAAATACTTCAAGAGAAGGGCATCAAAGATCGGACGGCATATTCAGAATGACAACTCTTGCCTAGAAACAGGTAAGCATCGCAATCCTGGAAGCCGCCATTTACACAAATATTGATGACGTGTGTAAACAAATCGTGGTGACGTAAAGCGACTTCCGGGTTTGAGATGCACATGGCAGGTGATTGTTTTGAAAAACGAAATATATAGATTTATAGAGAAGAACATGGTTGACGTTCAATTAAGTGAAGCAGAGAAGACTTTTATTCTCCATGGAATCCAAGTAAGTGCGCATAATCGAAAATACCTGATTACCGTAGTTGGTAGGCTGTATATTCGTTTGTGTGTACATCGAGTTTTAGTTCCAGCAGTCAGCAACTGAAACTCAACCAAGTTTGGGGTTAGGGCTGAATGCAGAAAGAGGCACAATTTGGCAATCGAAGTAACTGTAGTATCTATTTGCTGCTTCACATAAACAATTTATATTTTGACCAATGACCTGTCATTCAATTGGAAATGTTGTACCTTAGCCGAAAGCCGCGATGGTCCTCAGGTCAAAAAGGCCTAAGTCGCAGGAACATTTACACCCCTCGCGAGGTTTGTTCCTTCACGGGAAGAGAGAGAGAGAGAGAAAGGACTAAAGGGCCAAAATTGAAAAAGTCAAAAGGGCCAAGGGAAAGTCTAAAGGGCCATAGACTTATGTCAAAAGGGTCAAACTTCTCTATAATATTCTTGAAAATATAATGACCAGAGAGAAATACCTCCAACTTTGCAAGAGCTGCGAAGAATTTCACTTTCTCTGCCACGTCTGCTCTGAACCCGAGTCTCAATCCAGTAATTGTACGGTTGGAAACTTTACAGTCAAGTTTGAGCAACCTGCGGACATGTCAGCCATTGAGACTCGGGGAGTGTTGTTTGAGGAAGTGAACATATCCAATCATTGATAACATTTACCTCATTAAAATGAAAAATCAACTTTTTTTAATGCTTTTTCATCATGTGAAAAAAGATCAAGAATAGTACAATCAACCAATGTATATTGTATGGGATATTATCCTTCAACTGACATGTCTTTTATTATCACATGCCTGCTCTGTCACAATGGAATCATTGCTATACCATGTCATAGATCTTCTATATTTTGACATTTGTCTTGTTTGTTTGCAGGACAATCTGCGTGAGGATGGGAGAAGCTGTGAGGACTATCGTCACATGGAAATTGAAACTGACGTAGTTTCAAATACAACAGGTTCAGCCAGAGTGAGACTGGTCAGTGAAATGTCCAATAACATGCAATGGAAGCTGTATAATCCGACACTCACTGGGACAGGGAAAAATGTCAGATTATACAGTGTGTCGGATATTTAAAATAGTGTTAATTGGAACTGAACAATCCATACCCATGGAGATTCATACCGAAACAGTTTAGGTAGACTCGTACCCAAATGTTGGACAACCTGTCCTCGCTCGTACCTAAACAACAGGATAAACAGAAGTGAATTCGTACCGAAGAAAATATATACAGGGTTGAGAATTGATATGAGTTAAAAAAGAGGAAAATGAGCCAGGGGTCTTTCTCCTTGGATTTAGACAATTCACAAGAATGACCCCAGCGGAGTCAAATCCGTAGAATTCATTCGGAAGCAAGTGAAGTACGTTGCCAACCTTTGCTCGCTTCACTCACATATAGAAAGACTGGTAATTTTCTCTCTCCTGTGTAGCCCTATTTGCCCTACAGTTCACCTGTGATTCAGGTTAATGCAATCCGGTTTTGGTCGTGAAGAAAATGACTATGGGACATCCAAATTTGGTTTCAAAATAGGTATGGCCATAACAAGAACTTTAGATATGAGCTAGAAAGGGTAAGAATCTCTGTGGGTATAGATCGTCTAGTATCTGTCTTATTACTCTTAAGGATGTTTGACACATATGCAAGTTGCATCGAAGAAGAATTTCCTCATGACATTCCTCATTCTTCACCTTAGAGTCGGTGGGAGAGCTTTCATTATGTATATTTAAACTTGTCATAACAATCAAGAATGATCAACTTCAATTCAAGTTCATAAGACTACTAAGAGTTAGTGAATATGCTGAAGGCAGTCCTTGATACCACCACCAAAATTGCATAACTCTATCTGATTTGTTGTGTCAAGATATATCATTGATGTCTGTCATAATATGATGTCGCAACATCTGCAGAGAGATCTATGGTTAAATTTCCAGATCTTTATCCATGGTTTTGTTTTGCATGATGTCTTTGCTCATGCACGACTTGTGGACTTTCCCCTATATACAAGAAGTGGTATGAGAGAAATTCTTTTCATACAGAGTTAATAATAGTAATTTATAATCATAATTAATAATTAGTCCATTTATATTGCACTAAATCCACGCCGACAGCATGCTCATAGCACAGAAAATTATTACCTCAGATAACCCAAGCTGCCTGTGAGGCGCTAGAAGGTTATAGTCAGGTTAGAAGGTTATGAATGGCTTATCCCACTGGGTACCCAGTTTCTGCTGGATGAACACAGGCAGTTTTGAACAAACTCACTTGCCTAGGGTGAGACCACATGTATCACATGAGATTCATTTTGGGGCAGGACTGAAGTCCTAGAAACAATGAGAAACTCTCAAGAGTCCAGCTGCCAAGCACGGTCACCCATCCAAGGACTCTCTGTTGCTTAACTTCAACTGATTTGTGACCTGGCCCCGATTTCTCGAAACAAACTCAAATTTCAAACTGAGTTTGACTATTTGAAACAGCTGAATTTTAACTCAGCTGCTTTTTTAAAATAAAAAAAAGCCCAAACAACTTCAGTATTCGATTCACCAAACTCAAATTATCTACTATGTTTGAATTTAATATCGATTTCAGTTCATTCTGGAAAATGCGTTTTCTCAAATTTGAGTAAAAACTCGAACTTAAAGTCAAAACTCAGACTTGTTTCGAGAAATCGGGGCCTGAGCTCTATACACAGGACCACACACCACCATGAGTTAAAACCTATTCACATGTTTTCCAACCTAGGCAAACACAGATGTCCTGGTGGGTGTGAAGGCAGAACTTAGTGCTCCCACTCCCGAGAAGACAGACAGAGGCCGACTTGAGTTCTTTGTAGACTGGTAAATACTTTACTTATATACCATGATAATTGTGATAAATATGTCATAGTACAAGTATCATCATCAATTTCCTGTGAACAAACAGTCTGCTTATCTTAATAATGTACATCTTGAGAGCTTGTCACTGATAGATGCTTGTCGTAAGAGGCGACTAACGGGATCGGGTGGTCAGGCTCGCTGGCTTGGTTGAGACATGTCATCGGTTCCCAATTGCGCAGATCGATGGTCATGCTGTTGATCACTGGATTGTCTGGTCCAGACTCGATTATTTACAGACCGCCGCCATATAGCTGGAATATTGCTGAGTGTGGCATAAAACTAAACTCACTCACTTGTCACTGATAGAACCCTGAAACTGATGAATTGTGAAGAAGTCTAGATATGCTGCGTATCTGCGTAAAATACGCATTGAAATTTCTAAAATACACACTGAAATATATCTGTATTGTTCCAAATAAGCAAAGGAAATTACAGAAACATTTTGGTTAGTTGTTGACTTGCATACCCTGACTTACCAGTAAAAAACAAATGCATAACAGAAAGTAGCTGTCAGATGTTACGAACTGGATCGGGTAGATATTATCGATTGAATTTCACCATGTAAATGTACACTTTATGAACTACGGAAAGAAACAATCGCAGTTTCCATGGTTATTTTTCAATAAACAATCTGATGAAATGAGACTATGCTGCACTTATTGTCAGTCGGCAGAGATAAGTTTGTCCCTTACAAGTGTGTGAGCTGGTGATGGTACGCCACGTACGTGTATTCAGATGTCTAACCTGATCAGACATAACATCTATTTCTCTTTAAACAATGACCATGTTGATGTCTGAAGTAGAAACAGTTGGTTATAGTTATATTTTTTAACATTTTTTAATTGAAATAGAAAATAGCACATTTTAAAAAAAGGGTGGGTAGCGGAAAATTTGAGTGCCCACTGAAGATCAGTAGTACCCATTTATAACAGACACCATGGGTAAAATACCTAGATTGGAAAAAGCTTATCTAGAGCTCTGACTGTGAATGAACAGGCTGGTTATCTTTGTACTATACATTTCATCCTTGAAAGTGGCTGTAATATGTAAAGCCAATTTCTGGTGACCTCTGCTCCAATATTGCTAGAGGAGGCCAAAACTCGTACTCACTGATCTTGAGAGCTTGTCACTGATATATCCCATGTCTGGTCCAAATGCCCTTGTTATGTTTTTGGTTTTTCAGCACCATGCCTATCATGGATTCTGATATTTAATGCATGGCGCCAAGTATTGGTATGGTTGATAGTTTGTTTTTTGTTACAATATTATCCTCTGTTGATGCATACATTATGTTCAAGGAATTATTCTTTTTTGCAGTTCAGCGAATGCTACCCCTCAGTTTGAGGGTCGAGGAGGGGAAGAGTTGGCAACTGAAATCAGTACAATGTTGTCCCGAGCCTATGACTGTTCCAGCTGTCTCGACCTGCAGTCTCTGTGTGTTATCCCCAAGCAACAGTGCTGGGTCTTATTTGTAGATATTCTGGTGAGCATTGACTTTTATAGAAGCTGAAAGTCAGGTTTTGTTCCTCAAGCTTCTTATTCATACATGAGGTGAGGTGAAATTGGGTTTAACGTCGTGCTTGAGAATATTTCACTCATATGATGACGTGCATGCGTGTGTATGTGTATGTGCGGCTGATTTTACTAGCCCAGACTTAAGCTTGTTTTATAGTGTTAGCCCACTGAGATACCATGCCGCAGTGAAGCATGAATACCCCACTCAGACACATTATACTGACTCCGAGCCGACCAGTCCTTGTTGTACTCATTAATACCAAACGCCAGGCAGGGATCAACAAGTACCATATTTTAACGTCTTTTGGTATGACGTGGTCAGGGATCAAACCCGCGACCTTCCGCTCTCCGGGCGGACGCTCTAAACACTACACCATGGAGGTGGTCATTCATACATGACCCTTGAAGATCCGGGTTAGAATTGAATATACAGTAGCCCATGCTTGTCATGAGAGGCAACGAATGGGATCGGGTGGTCTAGCTCGCTGACTTGGTTGACACATGTCATTGTATCCCAATTGCAGGTCAATGTTCATGCTGTTGATCACTGGATTGTCTGGTCTAGACTTGATTATTTACAAACCGCCACCATGTAGCTGGAATATTGCTGAATGTGTCATAAAACTAAACTCACTCACTTATTATCACATGACAGAATAGTGATGAATATAACTTTTCATAATTCATATTAACAGAAATGCAAATTGGATTTGACATCTTTGAATCCCAGTGCCAACTGCTGTTGATCATTGGATTGTCTAGTCCACACTCGATTATTTACAGACCTCCGCCATATAGCTGGAATATCGCTGAGTGAAGCGTAAAACTTACCCACTCACTTATTATCACATGGCAGAATAGTGATGGAATATAAGTTATCATAATTCCTATTAACAGAAATGCAAATCGGATTTGACAACTGCTGTTTAAACCATACACTTATTTTTCAGTTGTTGGAATGTGGAGGCAATCTGTTTGATGCTGCGTCCATAGCTGTCAAAGCTGCTTTGTTCAATACAAGGTAATCACATCATGACAAGACGAAGTTTATTTCACAGGCCATAGGCCATAGGCCAAACTCGATACACACTTTAATCAGTATTGCTCTCAGAGAACTATTACTCAGAGCTAATCCCCGACTGACCCCAAACCACAGCTCATCTGTTACTGTCTGTGTTGCCTAAAAGTAATCTAATTTTCATCAAGTCTGTTTTCCTCCTTTGTAATAAAATATGCTTATTTGGAAAGATTAAGTAAGTCAGAGAACATCTCACTTCAGAATAGACGACCCGTTAAGGTCCGGGTTAGAATGACCCTTCAGTAACCCATGCTTGTCGTAAGAGGCGACTAACGGGATCGGGTGGTCAGACTCACTGGCTTGGTTGACACATGTCATCAGTTCCCAATTGCGCAGATCGATGCTCATGCTGTTGATCACTGGATTGTCTGGTCCAGACTTGATTATTTACAGACCACCAGCCATATATAGCTGAAGAACGTTGCTGAGTGTGGCGTAAAACTAAACTCACTCACTCACTCTGAATAGACATGGTAAATGCACAAACTTGAACAGTTCTTGTGTCATTTGTAGTGGTGTTTGATGAAGCACTCATAAAATCCGACAACTAAAAGGAACAAATTTTGATGTGAGCATTGTGTAGTTACAATTCCTTGTTGCATTGTCTCATGTTTCAGCATCAAATGATCTGCACAATAAATGATTGAGCAATCTGTAGAAGTGATGAAGGTTATGAATGAGGACTAGATTTTGTTCGGTTTAATAGTTGCATGTTTGACTTTCGTCAGAAATGCTCCTAAAAATATTTGAAACAAACAGTTAAGAAACCATATTGGTTTACACACTGGTTCAGACTGGATTTATGTTTCCTCAGATGTGACTAATATGTATAAGTAATGAAGCGTCTCATCTTATCTCATGTTCTGTAAAGTCAAACTGAACTGGCTTCCAATCCAACCACAGATCATCTGGGCGGTGGGGTAGCCTAATGGTTAAAGCGTCTGCTCGTCCAGCTGAAGACCCGGGTTCAATTCCCCACATGGGTACAATGTGGGAAGCCCATTTCTGGTGTTCCCTGCCGTGATATTGCTGGAATATTGCTAAAAACGGCGTAAAACCATACTCACTCACCCACTTACGTAAACCCAAGGGCTGTCTCCTGAATATTCTTTTCAGTCTGAATTTTTACTGTAATTTATTCAAATACGAATCTTTTACAGAATTCCAAGTGTGACAGTCAGTCAGGAAGAAGGTGGTGAGATGGAACTGGAGATATCAGACGATCCGTATGACGTGAAGCGGCTTGATGTCGCCACAGCGCCCTGTGTAGTAACACTGAACAAGGTAAGGACAAACCAGGAAGAAGCACTTATTAAACAAAGGTCATGTATCATCATTCATAATGGGGCGGTGGGGTAGCCTGATTAAAGCTTTATTTCAACATGCCGAAGACACATGTTCAACTCCCCACATGGGTACAATGTGTTAAGCCCAAAACCGGGTGTCCTCTGCCATGATTTTGCTGAAATATTGCTACAAATGGCGTAAAACAAAACTCACTCACTAACTCATTCATAATGTCAGTCACTTTATTGTCTGGTACGGACTAAATCATTTACTGGCTGCCATTGTATAGCTGAAATACTGCTGTGTGTACCATTAAACAACAAGCAAACCAACACATCACAACCAGCCACCATTAACGCCAAGCAGGAACAATGTCAGTTGAGCATCATTATCATCAGAATAGCCTGGATCCTTCTCATGCCTGTGTGTCTGACTCCATGCAGCCATCACAGTGATGTCACACTGCTGATATCTTGGAAACTGAAACTGGACATTTTGTTTATTTGTAAACAATTTTAACTGATCGCATTATTTCTGAAGCTATTTATGTTATATTTGTTGCTTAAAGTGTTGCATCTATTTAGCGATGCATTTCATTTTATGCTGTGAATAGTTTTTCCTTTTTTAATATCCGATGTGAATATTTTACTTTTCTAGATTGGTCACTATCACGTGGTAGACGCCAGTCAAAAGGAAGAGGCATGCACCCTTGCCAGGTAAGGGAATACTGTTTTCCTAAATACAATCCACTATTGTCTTTAGATATCCTCACCTTTTTCCTTCCACACAGTGATGTAAGTGAAATATTGTTTGTTAAACCCAAGCTGCATCACTCACTTTGACTTTAGAATTTTTTTTGACTTGCGGAATCCATTTCAGATAAACTAATCCTGATAATGTCATACCCGGTTTGTCTAGCATCAGTCATCACAAACATTTTCCTTTGAAACTTAAATTTTACACACTTCCTTCCACCAATTATCGCGAAGAGTTTTAAATCTTGAAGAGTTTGAAATCTGCTTTTCAAAATGGCTGCCACAGCCATTTTGAGATGTAGATAACAGAGCTGCTAATGGGCCTGAAAATTTCCACTGGCGGAGACAAAAAAAATCTTATTTCTGAATATAGTCCTTTTACATGTTTTGGACAATTAGACAGATGTTAGTCACAAATACAGGGAAGTGAATTCTCCTTACATCACTTCTCCAACAATGATCTTGATGTTCTGTATTGTAGACTGCTGATGGGAGTCACAGAGAAGGGTTCAATCACAGCACTGAAGAAAGAAGGGTGTGGCAGTCTTGACCCTGAGAGTGTGCTTGATATGATGGAGGTATGGTTTACCTAAAATATTACACTGTTGGTATTCAGATTTGAAAAAGTGTATACATGATAGTGTAGATCAATGCTTATGATGCATTGTCTGGTAAGGATTTGATTATCTTGACTGCTGTCGTATAGCTGGAATATTGTGTGAGGGGTGTTTAACAACAGACAAGGAAATAAAGATAGTGATTTGGCAGAGGCTAACCTAGGACTGTTCTGGCTGCAAAGAAAATCCGATTGTCTCCCCTTAATGTGTTGATAGCACTTGTTGGACGATGCATCAGTTTTTTGGTGTAATTTGTAAGGAAACCATTTGAAAACATTTTATTTTTTGTGTCTGGAAGTGATATTACATTTTGATTGTAAGCCATAACTATGTTTGATTCAAATCAGCTTTCTGGAATTGATTAAAAATATCTGCAAGTTTGAAATGAACAAATTTGTAATTTATTGGATTGGATTGCATAGAAGATGATATTTTGATTTAAGAGTATAGGATTTATATGTGAATGTATTGCAGTGTTTGTCCATCAGAACTGACTGTTACCATGGTTACTTGCAGACAGGGAAGAAGATTGGTCAGGCCTTGAACAGCAGCCTAATGAAGGTCCTTGAGGAAGAAGAGAAGCAAGGCCCCAGAAGGAAGACTGTGGGCTTCCTCCGATAGCAGCACCACAGGACCACAGATATTGTGGGCAGAGAGGAGAGGACTCCCGTGGGGATGCCGGGACAGAATAGGTCCCCAGCACCAAGTGCTTGTCGTAAGAGGCGACTAAGTTGAAGATCATACCATATCTAATATCCTGGCATATACTGGCATGACAGGACAGTGGTTACAGGAGTGAATGTAGGAGCTTAGCTGTGGTGTCAGATCATGGACAGTAATCAGATGAATCTGGGACCAGGTGGTTACAGTGTGTGGCCTGATTTATTGTGCTTCATCATCTTCTGATGGGTGGTTCATGCTGATGTCAGTCTCTGGCTGTCCCACTCCCATTACAGTCAACCTTATACTTTCACATCATACATCTCTGCATGAAGATCTCATCCATCTAGTCCTGTGGAACCAGCCAATCATGGCATGGCTTCTAAGCTAAAGTCACAGTACCAGTGAGTGAAGCATTCAAACCAGAAAAGGTTTATAACCATCCAGTTCCAAATGTAAATAATAAAAGCTACACCATTATCTTGTTGGGTATATTTTATACACCCTGTGTTTTCTGAGCAATATAACATACGCACCCTTGTAGCATGGAAGAAATGTCTCAGTTTCTGACTGTGTGGGGTTCCTTTGCAAACAGAAATGAAGACAAATTGCTTGAGAAAGCTGAGATCTGATTGGATGAAGCACATCTCAGTTTTCTCACTAACACATTCCTTATTAACTATAGTTCTGAGATTGTTCAGTGTTCTCCTGTGGAAATGTTGTCAGAACTTCACACAGAGGGGCACTGTATATGAGCAATAAATATCTGGTTTGAGTGAGATCTTGTTCCATGGCCATTAATCATTTCACAAGGTGATCCTCCATACTGTAATGTGCTCCCAGCTGACTCTAAGCATGCTGAGAGGATACACTTTGCTGCGTGAGTGAGTGAGTATGGTTTTACACTGCTTTTAATGATATTCCAGCAATATCGGGGCGGGACACTTTGCTGAGAACAGCTAGATTCCCAGCGTTCATGGTGTCTGATCTGTGATCTGATGGCTGAATTCCATGAGCATTTCAAGATTTCTTGAAAGTTTGTGGATTGGGATATTTTTGCATGGTTGCTTCTTTGTCTTCCTTGAAGGCTGAAAGAAATGAACTCACACAAACACTATGCAGCTTACTCAAGAGGCTTGTTTAGAGTGGTCTCCATGTTTTGATGTGTACGCCAACAATATGTGATGTATTCATGATCTACATGGCAGATCATGTAATCAAGTGATTTCAGTGAAGCAGGAAGTGGTTCAGGAGAGACAATCTAAGTGTACAAGAATGTTTCATAACCACCTCTTGCCTCAAAGAAAGGTGTATTTGAGATAAATATATAAATAAATACATAAACAAATATGGAGATGTTGATTCACAGAATATTTTTTTTATTTTGTTACATCCTTCAATATGGTGAAGCATCTTGTCATCTTTACAATAAACAAGATTTTTGTATGCATTAGAAATTGGATTGATGCCTGGTATTGATAAAAATTAAAGATCTGCAAAAATATTTCAGGTATGCAAGATGAAAGAGCTTCTTAAGGTAATCTTGCAGAGTGTTATGGAACACCAGCAAGTGAAGACTAATTGAGTACAGGTTGTTCATTTTGTGCTTTTTACACAAATATGTCATCTTGATATTTGAATTTAATGACTTGATCTTTGGACACCTTAAGCTATGAAAAATGTTTGATAGAAGCAAATGTAATAAGGGACCGTTCATAATTTATGGCAGGAGGGGTGGATGATTTTTATGCGAAAGCATGTATAATGTGAATGACACACCACCCCCACCCCCACCCCCTCAAGTACATGTGTACAAAATTGCTGACCCCCCTCTACCTCCCCAGAACAAAATCTCTCTCACACTCACACACACACACCATAGCCATAAACTATTAACGGTCCCTAAAGCATTATAGTCTTCAAACATCTGAGCACAAAGCGATTATAGCCTGACGAAACAACTCCTATGTTTTAAAACAGACTTGTGTGAAACCAGCCTCTGAGGGCTAAGACAAATGATAAATACTGGTTACATTCAGAGTTAGCTTGTCTACATGGACGGATGATTCCATACTTCATGGTTTGCGCATGTCGTGGTGGGTGATAATTGCCGCCAATTCTCTGGCCACTTTCTCTGTACATCCCATCAGTATCCGGTTGCCCATCAGATCGCATGGCCCACCTGGACATCAGAAGCAATCAGGTCAAGCAACACACATGAAACACTCTCACCAACTTTCTCTTCGTCATCCTCTGCGTCCAAATATGCCCCAACTCGTCCTTATCTATTTGGCTGTTTCTTTCATCTATATATCAATTACCTGTGAAGATCCGGGTTAGAATTGGTCTTCAGTAACCCGTGTTTTCGTAAGAGTCGGGATTGGGTCGTTGGACTCGCTGGCTTGGTTGACACATGTCATCGTATCCCAATACTCAGCTGGAATATTGCTGAGTGCAGCGTTAAACAACAAACAGAAATTTCAATTACAGTGAAACCTGTTTAAACCGGCAGCCCACGGGACCGAAATAAAATGCCGGTTAAGACAGGGTGCCGGATTAGACAGTGATGATCATTTTCCTACATGGCCATTTACACTCGTCAATCTCTATCTCTATATGCCTTTGATCTTTGTTCTTTGATCTTGTAATTGTGCAGCAAACTAAAACAATGTTGATGATGTATTGGATTAAGGGACCTTGATTGAACTGCTCATACCCATGCCGGCTTAGAGCTTCTGATTCACGGCGCAATCACCACTTCCTGGCATGCCAAGAGGGTTGATTAGTGTATTGGATTATGGGTCCTTGATTGGACTGCTCATACCCATGCCGGTTTAGACAGTGTTAACTACAGTTAAAATTTCTTGTTGGGACCGGAAAGTCGTGCCGGAATACGGAATAGACAGGTACCGGAATACGGAATAGACAGGTGCCGGATTAGACACTGTTTTAATGATCATAATAGCGTTGTAAAATGGCGGGACCAATATTAGACGCCGGTTTTGACAGTGTGCCGGATTAGACAGGTGCCGGTGTTGGCAGGTTTCACTGTATATATCAATGATCCTCAAAACCGAAAGCTCACGTAGAACATTTATATATTACCAGACATTTATGAGGCATGACTGCCCAGTAACCCCAAGGTTCTTGAAGAATCAAAACATCAAAGTGGAATTTTCGTTACCCAGCATTCAAAATAACTCCAGCTCCTGTATTTCATGAACAAGAGAAACAGCTGTACCTTTCTCCACCATCAGGCTGACAAAACTGGCTTGCGGTTTAAAATGGGCTTTTTCCGGGTAAGTATGACAAGGCAGGCGCGCGCACACGCTTGCTAACGTTGTTGCATGTGTTCATTAATCTTGAACACAACCAAACACGATTTTACCCACCTCAAGTGAAAGTCAAATACACATACTGTGTGCGAAAGAGCCACTGGCATGCTAGCCCTTGGTCAGTAAAAATCCAGTCGGGCCAGAAAATCTCCACAGTCACTGCCCCGATTATCTAGTGAATTTTCATGGGGTCATTTTGTAAATATATCACTCTCTCCGAGTTGTTACGTTATAACACACTTTTAAATCATGAAAGATTATGGTCTAAATGTTCATCATATTAGCAGCTTAACGATGAAACCTGTGTCATGCCGACATTATCTTATTCTCATCTATTTTTGTAATCATTTGCATAGTTTTTACATTCAAATTTCAGGCTTGTGAATTATTTTGTAGGCTGGTAACTCTCAGGCATAGCTACCCTGACTGGCTAGCAAATATTGGAAACTATTTCGCACATTGTACACAAACGAATACTTTGACCGACCCAGTGCCAATCTTCCTATCCTCCAAATTCCTGCTATCCGAAATATTCCATTTGGACACCCCTTCCCCGACAAGCATCTTACCATCTGGGTCCATGACGTACACTCCAGCCTCCTCAGCTATGAGTAAGCCAGCCACGAAGTCCCAGCAGTAGAGGCCGTACTCCACCCACGCCTGGCCCTGGCCCTCGGCCATCTTGCAGCAGTGGACAGCTGCAGCCCCGTATGACCGAAGGCTGAAATTCAAGAAAGTTCACTGAAAAGGGGATCGTGTTTGGAATTTTCCCCAACAACCAGTGCTTGTAAGCGGCAAGTAATTGGGTCGGGTGGCCAGGTTCGGTGACTTCGATGTTGCCTTATATTCTATTATCCGAGTTGTCTTGTTTTTAAATATTACAGGTATTCGCAGGCCTACCATACAAACGGAGAACAAATCCTCAAACTTGAACTCATATACACCAAAACAGAACAAAAATCACCAAAATAGGAAAATAAACTTCCAAAACTGCCACAGTTTCCTCTAACACTGACACTAACGCATCTGTAATGGAAAACTAATCGTTTGAAATGGAAAGAAAACTTGCGTATCAGCTACAAAATCACCCAAGAACGGTCGCCGAGCGTACAAAACGGCAGTCATAGCATCCCGAAAAGGCACAAAAATCGATTCGGAGTTACAACCTACTCCGTTTGGATACAGTGACACGCCCACCAAGACGCCGTGTCTGGCCACCAGAGCCTTTAAATAACATCCTTCAACAAGATCCGGGTTAGAATTGGTCTTCAGTAACCCATGCTTGTCGTAAGAGGCGACAAGCGGGATCGCGTGGTCAGGCTCACTGACTTGGTTGACACATGTCATTGTATCCCAATTGCGTAGATCGATGCTCATGCTGTTGATCACAGGATTGTCTGGTCAAGACTAGATTATTTTCAGACCGCCGCCATATAGCTGGAATATTCCGGAGTGCGGCGTAAAACTAAACTCACTCACTCACACCTTCTACAAGCTAGATTGCCAGGGATCAATTCCATAGTCCATAAGATGGTTTTCCTCTTTCTGCTTGACATTAAATGATTCCTAAACCTTCAAAAACAATTGTTTCACATCAGTCGGGTAACACATCCTGTCAATCTATAACACAGTGCGTGTTTCGGCGTTCCCTACTGCCTTTGTACCCCCTCCGTTAAGAGGCATAGAAGAACGTAGGGTTTTATTGTGTCATTGGTTTGGAACCACATTGGTTAAATTCTTAAGGACACCTACCCGTGACTGTTTGTGACTATATTGCGGACATTCTGGAGCATTTTGTCAACATTCCACGGTGAGCGTAGAACCCCAGTATCATAGATAACCATAGACTGCTTCAGCTCTGAAATCAGAAAACAGTATGAGTGTTGTTATAATTATGTAAGCGTAATTTATTGTGAAACAAAGCTGTCATTGTTTTACATTTTGTATGTTAAGATTCAGTAGAAGTTCATAACATTGCGTTTTAACAATAAATAGTCGTCAGGAACATATTAATTTTTAATGTAAGCAGTGGTGTGGAGGCAGGGGCGGATACAGCTTTTTGAGAAATGTGGGGTGCACACTATTGAGATAAAGGTGGGGTGCACACTTGAATATTGAACTTCAGGGACTTTTTCAAAATAAAATTGGCACACCATGATATGTGACTGTACATCTCACCTTCCACGCTACTTGCAGCGAGCTTCCTTCCATTACAGTATGACCCATGACCTTTCATGCTGGTGTACATAAGGTCAAGGACAGGTATGTTGACCACACCCACTATCACCTGCATCAAATAGACAGAATCTGACCAATGAGAAGCATGCATTTACGGGATACGGGTTACGTTTGATACATTAGTCGAACATTCCCTCGTCAAAAAGTTCCTTTAGATAAACTACCGGGCAAAAGAAGTTATCCATTTTAAAGCAATTGTATAAAAAACAAAAACGCTAGGTATAGGTTTGAACCCAAGCAGAAAAGATTCGCCAAAACGCAACATGGTCCCGACAACAACGCAGCTGTCCGAAAACTTCGTACAAATCGTGCATTTTTCAAAAGGTGAAAAACAGTAATTGTGGGACATTGGTCCAAATGCACGTGTATGAATGTGGCATAAATACCGATGTTGGACAGAGCAAGCATTCAGTAACCAAAAAACCACCACGAATATGCCAAGACGTACGCAGGCGCAACGAATTGATATTAGCAAATTAATAAACCGCTACGAGCAAACAGACTAGGCCTAAGATCGGGAAGACCAAGAGTCACGACAACATCCAGCAGATCCACCTCTGGAACAGATTCGTGACGGCGACGTCAGCAGCAGCGCCAGCACTAGGACACGCCATAAGCAGACGAACAGTCCTTCCACGTGTGGTATGGATGATATAAGAGGCAACCGCCCCCTTCCGTGGAATGGCTTTGACCCGTCTACACCGTCAACGCAGACTGCGATGGGCACGAACTGTACGTCGGTGGCAGTGACGTGATGGAGTGAGGATGCTTTTTACAGATGAAAGTCCGTTCAGTCAGAAACGATGGCAGAGTTCGATTTTTTCGACGTAGAGGAGAGCGACTGGCGCCAAGCTGCTTTCAGCCAGTTCACCCGTTTGATGGAGGAGGCGTCATAGTATGGGGCGGCACTTGTGGCCAGAGAACACCAAGACTGGTTGTCATCCTAGGAAATGTGAATTCCCATCAATACAGGGATGGAATATTTAGGCCTTTCGTGGTGCCCTTTATTCGACAACAGAAGAAGAGGAGTAATTTGGCGGCACGACAACGCAAGACCGAACACCGCCAGAATTGTTCGACAATAACTGTACAGCCTTAACTTCAAGGTATTGCCTTAGCCAGCGTGATCTCCAGACATGAACCCTATTGAACATCTCTGGGATCATATCTGGGATCATCCCCTGACTCCTATCTCATCATGTGACTCTTTATGCACTTTTTGAATGAATTCTGATTTGTGTCATTTTGTATTTTGACCCCTCGACTCTTTCTTAATGAATTGCAGCAAATGCAAGACCAGCATTACAACGAACTTTCAGTCATATTATTGGAAACTGATCTCTGTTTGTAAAATAATTATCATAATCATTACATATGTCTTTGTTTCTATTTTTTGATAAATTGAAGTCGGTGATGACTTTTTTGCCCTGTAGTTTAGTTGCGGATCGTCTTTTTCAAGCCGTCAGTCTTAAAATATCACATCATAAACATTTTTCTGGCACTTAAGCTTAAATAAAGTAATAAGCCTTATCTTTATTCATCCATGAATTTGTCGGCGTCGATGAGTAATCCAATAATTAGCATATCATATTAAGGTGAATTTTATATATTTTGACATGGCTATGAGGAATGGAAGCATCCATACCTTTTATTGGCTGTTAACCCCATGGAGAAAGCTACATCTGGAACACTGAAACCAGAAAAATATCAATTGGGTGCATGTAAGACGGGTTTTCCTGGAAGTTAAACAATTATTTTGCTGTGGAGACTCCAACCCGATTTCTTTTCACCGTGTACTCCAAATGAGAAAGGAATGTTTCGCCTCCTTCAGCAACATGTTTGATGGGAACACCTGTGATTAGCTTCGATATGGAGAATCTACCCCCAAGTTCTGTGGGCAGTGAACGGAAGGAGAGGGTTGGATGTTTCGCAGATATTTGCAATATTGTTTCACAGGGACAGTGATATCTACCTCCTCTTATAGAAGAACGTGTACTTGTGTTCTTGCTTGGAAGACTAACTAATCCCCAGCAACTACAGTGCAGAACTATTACTAGTCTGTCTCACAGTCCCTGAACCACATTAATTTCCCTACTGCCAAGCCCTCTCTGCAGTGCTAAAGCCCTAAATAAAGCAAGTCTAGATTTCCTCAGGTTCTGAATCTCTGGTCTCCCTAGGGCTCCTTTTCAATATAAATGGGCTTGTTTGTTACTATGAAAATTATATATATTCAGAGACTAAGCCTTAGTCTAAACTATTACCAAAATACTCATGTGTATCATATTTACCCTAGGTACATGTAAATGCCAAGCCTTTAAACGTTCTCTATTTCTACAGATGGGATGCTTTAGTGCACTTTCTTGACAAATATTATACTATTACTATTCGAATATGCATAACTATTACAACTACATTCATGTGTATTATATTCATATTCAATGTCTGTACGTGTATATGCCATGGGATGAATAAAACGTTTATATTAAAAAGAACGTGTACATTGTCACTAATTGTGCAAAGCGGTACTTAGAACCTACACATGACTGCTCTTCAGAACTGACACAGAAAGTTTGCAGTTAGGTGTAATGGCGCCTCCTTATAAAGTCAGCGCCACTGTGGTATGTTGAGTGAGTGAGTTGGTTTTTTTAGCGCTGCCTTTAGTAATATTCTAGCAATATCCAGAAATAGGCTTCACACATGGGACCCGTGTGGGTATTCGAACAGGCGCCTTCGGCGTGACGAGGGAAGGCATTAATCGCTGGGCTACCCGTCATTTCATCAAATTATCAGAATACAATAAATTCATTTTTATGCATGGTAACTATAATATTTTGGTGCTGTATGCCTACTTATATCTTTATAGTCTAACTGCAGTTAATGAATAGGGATCAAATAGACCCTACTTCCGGTCATGTCGCCCTAAACTACACCACCACAACCACCACCGCCGCCGCCGCTATGACGAGCCTATCCCGAAGCCAGCGTGCAGGGCGAGAGTGCACGACCTTTCCACATCACAACATCTTGTCAAGCATAAGTACACACTTTATAAGTTATGCACAACCTACTTATGAACAAAGTTATTCGTTCCATCAACTGGATCAACGATCCACGTCAGGTCGTCCCTGAAGTCAAAGGGAACGTCAAGGTCCGTGGTTTCCTCGCCTATAAACCTGAAATGTACAAGGTTATCATGAAGCGTGGCAGAACTGATACGAGGGGAATAAATTATCTGAATGTACCTGCCGTTGTGATGTACAGTTGAAATTGCTTGGCAATGCATCTGAACGCAACATCTAACCTGAAGCTCGTGCACACAGAAGTCAATTTTAGGGAAACCGATAATCGCTAATGCAGTTGTGCTGAACACAGCCTTAAGAATGCATCGGAGACAATATCTAAATGAACAGACAAAATGACGTATTGTCGGTACGATATATTGGACTTTTTCCAAAGCTGGCTGAATATTTTGCAAATCAGCTCCTTGATTAAACCCTATTCCCTATTTCTCTACACCTACCTGTGATCAGTATATTGTTCTTTGATATAACCTACCGCATATTTCAGTCAAACTAGTCATCTATATAGCGCCTATTTCCAGTCCGTGAAAGTATACTCAAAGGCGCTTAGAGGAGCTCTGACACAAAGTTTTAAGTTGCATGCCATTTCGAAGAAGTAAGTTTTCAAACGAGACTTAAAGTCGCTGAGTGTCTGAATGTCTGGGATTGAATTCCACAGTACGGGACCACCCTTAGAAAAGCTTCTGTCACCATAATAACCGGTGCGAGTTTTTGGAACACACAGGTGATTCTGAGAGTCTGAACGTGATGACATTTCTCTTTACCTACCTGTGGTCGGGATAGCGTTCTTTGATGATCCCCATGACCCATTTCTCTACAGCCTTATCAGTCTCCGTAACAAGGTCAATACAGCTTCCTTTGTTGGTTACAACTTTCTTCTGAAAGAAGGCTTTCTTTATCATCTGTAAGAAAAAAAATCAAAATTTGTCAGTTGTGATGACCGTTGAAAACCAACCAAAATGGTCGAGTATCGATAAACCCAGGATCACAAGTTAACCTGGCAATACAACACAGTCGAGTATCGATAAACCCAGGATCACAAGTTAACCTGACAATACTGTGATGTCTATTGAAACAACCGACAACACGGTCAAGTATCGATAAACCCAGGATCACAAGTTAACCTGGCAATACTGTGATGTCTATTGAAACAACCGACAACACGGTCGAGTATCGATAAACCCAGGATCACAAGTTAACCTGGCAATACTGTGATGTCTATTGAAACAACCGACAACACGGTCGAGTATCGATAAACCCAGGATCACAAGTTAACCTGGCAATACTGTGATGTCTATTGAAACAACCGACAACACGGTCGAGTATCGATAAACCCAGGATCACAAGTTAACCTGGCAATACTGTGATGTCTATTGAAACAACCGACAACACGGTCAAGTATCGATAAACCCAGGATCACAAGTTAACCTGGCAATACTGTAATGTCTATCGAAACAACCGACAACACGGTCAAGTATCGATAAATCCAGGATCACAAGTTAACCTGGCAATACTGTGATGTCTATTGAAACAACCGACAACACGGTCGAGTATCGATAAACCCAGGATCACAAGTTAACCTGGCAATACTGTAATGTCTATTGAAACAACCGACAACACGGTCAAGTATCGATAAACCCAGGATCACAAGTTAAGCTGGAAATACTGTGATGTCTATTGAAACAACCGACAACACGGTCGAGTATCGATAAACCCAGGATCACAAGTTAACCTGGCAATACTGTGATGTCTATTGAAACAACCGACAACACGGTCGAGTATCGATAAACCCAGGATCACAAGTTAACCTGGCAATACTGTGATGTCTACTGAAACAACCGACAACACGGTCGAGTATCGATAAACCCAGGATCACAAGTTAACCTGGCAATACTGTGATGTCTATTGAAACAACCGACAACACGGTCGAGTATCGATAAACCCAGGATCACAAGTTAACCTGGCAATACTGTGATGTCTATTGAAACAACCGACAACACGGTCGAGTATCGATAAACCTAGGATCACAAGTTAAGCTGGCAATACTCTGTTGACTTCTGAAACAACCCACCGGCACGGTAGGGTATCATGGACAATCCAAACCTCACAAGCCTAGCAATGTTGTGATGACTGTTGAACAAAGTTGGGTGTCGATAAACCAAATATCATAAATCAACCTCACAACACTGTGAAGACTGTTGAAACAACCCACCTCTCCTGCCTTTGTGGCGACTTCCACTGCAAAGTCGTGGTACTCCTTGAGCTGGGTGGGGCTGACTTGAACGGACATGACTTGGCGTTATTTGTTTCTTTAATCACAAAATCCTGAAAGCAATACAAAACCGTGAAAAGTCTGTTTTGTTGCAGTGTGCAACATGAAGTGTCAACAATAAATAAACCTGGGCAACGACCAAATGTTACAGTATCATGATAGATATTCTTCTGTAGATAACCCGTGAATATCCGGGTTAGAATTGATCTTCACTAAACCATGCTTGTCGTAAGAGGCGACTAACAGGATTGGGTGGTCAGGCTCGCTGACTTGGTTGACACATGTCATCGTATCCCAGTTACGCACATTGATGCTCATGCTGATCATGACTAGATCGTCTGGTCCAGACTCGATTATTTACAGACCGCCGCCATATAGCTGGAATAGTGCTGAGTGCGGCGTAAAACTAAACTCACTGATTCACTCCTCAGTAGATGAGGGAGATTACAATTGGAAGTTTCCCATACAGGTTTAAAAGACAGGGTATGTATTCTCTTTGGAATACCGCAGATATACTTTCCGATCTCAATCCCATATTACATTGCTCTACAGCATAGCTCCAGCTAAACTGTCTTTTGCTAAAATGAACAAAATTCAAACATACAGTTTTCAAAAGCTCCATAGCATAATAAATCTCTGTATAATGAATCAGGCTTGCACGAAATTTCTTAACACGTTTTATTCACTTGCAGGCATTACACATGCTTGAACTTCACACATTCGGGGCGGTTGGGTAGCTTAGTGACTAAAGCGTTCGCTCGTCACGCAGAAGACCTAGGTTAGATTCTCCACATGGGTACAATGTGTGAAGCCCATTTCTGGTGTTCCCCGCCGTGATATTGCTAGAATATTGCTAGATGCGGCGTAACACTTAACTCACTCAAATAAATTATACATGCTCAAATGGAAAGATGCATATTTCAGTGTTTCGATGGTTTAATGTTTTTTACCGCGCGTGAGGCCATTAGAGCCAGATTGCATAGAGGTATCAAAAGGACTTAAATTCTTCTCTGGTGGAACATGCTTATCTTAATACCATGTTAAATCGTTTCCTCTCGGTTGATATGTTTTGTGACTATATCGTCAAGAAGTTGTTCAAAAGAGGCACAAACGACCTACGATTATAACAAAAAAAACATAGCCCTTGCACTTGAATACATAGATTAGAGCTTCACAAATCCCTTTGTCCTCTACAGCAATATTGCTTCGACCTCTTAACACAATACCCTTGTGTCCTGATATCTCTTTGTCCTCTAAACTCAAGAAAAGGTTCCACGTAATGGAGTGTCACTGTCGGAGACAATGCTTGCGAGTGAAAATCATCCCCTATATATAAAAACACTTATATGGAATATGACGCATGTTGCTAGGATACCTCTGGTATATCATCTGAGGCGTGAGCGAGTTTGGTTTTAAACCACACTCAGCAATAGTCCAGCTACATGGTGGCGGTCTGTAAATAACCGTGTCTGGACCAGACAATTCAGTGATCAACAGCATGAACATCGATCTACGCATTTGTGTGTCAACATGTGTCAACCAAGTCAGCGAGTCTGATCACCCGATCCCGTTAGTCGCCTCGTACGACAAGCATGGGTTACTGTTCTCAGTTCTAACCCGGATCTTTACGGGTATATCATCTGAGGAGCCAAAGAAAGTATACCAGTTTGTTTAATGAAAAGTGAAACTGTTAAAATCAATCATGCCTCTCTTACCCATCCGACAGTCAGTAAAAGCCATTTATTCTGTGGCTGGATGGGTTATACTTAAAATAGATTAACTCAGTGAACACTGAGGTCAGAAGTGAATTACCCCAACCATGTTTCAAATTTTAAAAACAAGCTTTAAAAATAACTATTGAAAATGACATATATACTGATGTACAAAAGAAAGTACACACCTCGTGTTTTGAGACCATTAATAAACGTAAATATTTTGCTAGCAATGTTCCAGTTGGGTACGACATCTATTGAGTTATTGCAAAATGTACACTTGAGTCGCAATCAAAACACTTTTCTAAATATTACGCTGTTTTCAGGAAAACATTTTTACCAAAGCATCAGATGTGTACTTTCTTTTGGACATCAGTTTAGGTATGCTAAAATGTACATGTTTCACCTACCGTTTGGACTGGTGATGCAGCTTTGAACAGAAACCCAGTTGCGCAACTATGACTGTACGTCTTGATGTACCAAAGCCTTCTTCTAACTATATTATTTATTCGCTACCACTTATATCTCAACCGTACCGGTTTATCCCGTTTACATGCTTCAGTTTTCGGACGACTGACGACAAGTGCGTCTCAGACACCCGCTTTGATAGTAAACAGGTTTTGTAAACCCCTGTTCCATTTCACAAACCGTAAACAGCATAGTATAGTGTATCATGCTACCTAAGTCTTGTTTTGTCGACTCTGCATTTTATGGTTGAAAGACTAGATATAATTACCGGTGTGCTCACTGAACAGTTCACCGTTTCGCTACACCAGGGTGACATCCTGCAGATTGACGAGCGGTGGTCATGCAAAATGGCGAGGAATATTATTAACATAGACGAGCGGTATTAAACATTCTCACGATCAGTTTTTCAAACTTCAAATTGTGAAAACGTCGTTTAGCAAAGTTTAGAGAAAAGCAGCGCCACATGACTGCAACTAAAATATCAACAATCTACGTCAAGCGATGCTTACAGTTCATCAGTTTTCAATCTCACATAGTACGACATTGTTAATGCAGTGACAATGTTAACACCAGCAAAGTCTTCACGCCACGTTTTCCCTCTTATCGGAAGCTGAGAAGTTATCACTCCTTTTTTGAAGCTCTGAAGGTCTTATAAAAGTATGTGCCAAAAATTGCTTTAGAATCCTTTTAAGACGCCAGCAAATTTGATATAAGTAATTTTGAGATTTCATGTTTATATGTTGCACATATATACTATATTATGTTCGATCGTCGTTTTATCTACTTATATGCTTCTTTATATTCCTCTGTGATATTTAATTATTAACCGTCTCTCATAACTCCATTGGAATGGCATATGCATGTACATTTATAATTTTTACTGTATATTATTTTGTATATATTGTTCATTTTAATGTACATATGGTGAGACGTAAATATACAATCTGTCTGTCAGTGATACTTTAACTGCAACTACGCATGTATCAAGATCAAGTTTAAGACCGCAACGCGCGCGTCATGCATGGATTGTTGGCAGGTGAAGGTTTATCGCTCGTCACCGAGATGGTATTAGGAAATAAAGTTTGCTCTACCCCATTGTGTTTTGTAATAAAGTATAGTTTTGCCCTGAACTATTATAATTAAAGCACGAGGACGGTAGTCCGAGTGCTTTGATGTTATAATAGTTCAGGGCAAAACTATACTTTTATTACAAAACACATTAGGGTAGAGCGAACTTTATCTCTTTCTAAGATGCTAAATTTAATACTTTCTAAGGATAATTACGATTAATTTAAGGCAGAAAACAAACGACAGTGTCGCTGACCTAAATTAAGAATCCTCGCACAGGGCTAACTGGCGCGCTGTTCTATTGATGTGTCTGCCCCCCTACGTTAAGATGAACGTTACCAGAAAAAAAAAATGATAACAGTTTGATGACGGTTTACGTTCGGATTAAATATCTTCTCTGAATAATCATAATTACATCTGTCATTAACGTAAACCATATGGGGCAATATGAACGTCGCATTTCTACTACCAACGTAAGTTTAGATCAGTACATCCCGATGAAGCCGAGTAGTCAAGCGACATTCCACGATTGCATTGTGGGAATGTAAACATTGCGAACGTTACCGTGTCGCTGAAAACTTGTGAGTCGAATTGAGACATTTTAACCGTCGTAAAACATAAACGCAATGTTTCCACCAGTGATGTTAGCTGCGTGAAGCAACTGCAAACCAAGAAACGGGATGCAACGGAGTAGTTTACTGTAGGAGGCCGTACGAGGCGATGACAACTGACATGCATCGTGACGTCGCTTACATTGTGACGTAATGTAAAATGGTTCGATTACGAGGGGGGCACACTAGAATGGCGTAGTGACGGGATAACGTCATTCAATTGTTACGTCATCAAAAAACTATACCTTTATTGTCTGATAATGTATTTTTTTTTCGATTGTTCTAACCGCTAGGCATCTTAGAATGATAGTTAGGACTATCTTTTATCGTTGCGTCATTCGTAAGCCTATGATAAACTATAGAGTTACGACCGGTCGTAATGTTACGAATGCTTTGTGGATCGGACCCAGGCTTGAATTTTGTGTTTATTATATTCGTATTTGAACCTGGATAGTCAGCCCAGGCTCAGAATATTTGTGTTGATTATATTCGAATTTGAACCTGAATAGTTCATTGGGTAACTTTTGGTAGCAGGTACAAAAAACTACGTTTACATCGTACACGCCCATAAGAACAAACGGATACGAAGAACTATGAATTGTTTTGGTCCGAGTCACTTACTGTGTGTTCATTCAAAATGCTATAATGAACGACAGTTATAACGAACTAAATTTCGCGGTATCTTTTGAGTACGTTATAACCGTAGTGTACCGTCTCTGGAATGTACACATTTACTTTATCACTAGATATATGTTACGACATACCCTTTACAACCAGCAACTGGCCGATGTAGATATAGTTATTAGTTTGAAGGTATATGGTCCATGATATACTTTGACATACCCATGTTTTGCCAATATGGAGATTCCAGGTTCAAACTGCCCCCTAGCTACCACGGCGACAGGACAGATCTGGTAACTTGATTGGATAGTTTCTCATAATATCAATCACTAGCTTATCCCGAGCAGACTCGAGTACGAACATGCCGCGGAGTTAAACAAGCGTGTAGAGGTTCGTGAAAGGCATTTAGAAGTTGTACGAACATGAATACATGACACGTTTTCATGGATAACGTCTTTTTATTCTTTATACGACGTTACAGAGCTAATTCTTGCTCCTTCATCAGGTGAGAAAAGCGTGATGAAGGCGCAAGAATTAGCTCTGGAACGTCGTAAAAGAATAAAAAGATGGGCATGCTTAAGTTCGAAATTATATTCAACTTGCTCGAGTGGTAAGTAGAAAATAGTCTAATTCTTGCATAATTATATCCACGGCCTTTATTACCTTGAAGTAAGTACACGGGTCTGTTAATAATCGACAGCCAGATGATCCAGTGATTGACATCATGAACACCGAACTACACGATTGGGATTCAATGATATGCATCTGACCATCTGATCTCATTAGAAGACCAATTCTAACCCAGATCTTCACGGCTCACCTTTATCGGCCATAGCAATGATTCAACAGATGGCAACATTCGTAATATATATTTCTAACCACATACAAAAGAAATCAACTGACTATTTGCTTCAGTGTTTTACGACATTGAAGTTTTATACAAAATAGAACATAAATGCGAGAATACATTCAATGAACATAAAACATGTCTACAGGCAAGGTCAAGGTCTTCAGTCGTACAAATTACCCGGCATGGTCCGTTGATTATCCGTTTCGACAGTATCCAGGCATCTGGTTGCACACCCCTAAGTTCTTTATTACATCCCACATTACGAACAAAAATTCAAACAACAAACACTGTTTTCAGGACCTTTGTGCTGTAGGTTTTATTTACTGACTCAACTTTGCAGGTGCATTAAACAAGTAGGTCGAGTGTCAAGGTTCAGGTCGGGTAGTCTAGTCTAGTGGTTAAAGCGTTGGCTCGTCAACATTTCGATTCCCCACATGGGTACAACGTGTGAAGCCCATTTCTGGTGTCCCGCGCCGTGATGTTGCTGGAATATTGCTAAAAGCGGCGTAAAGCCAGACTCAGTCAGTCAGTCAAGGTTCAGGTCCTGGTTCAATCATTACATGTACAGGTTGGTTTCATTCTTGGAGCAGGTGTGTTATTGTCAAGAAACAATATTGACTTCTATGGGGTAATTGTAGTTATTATGCATTTCAGACGCAAAATGGCACGAAAAGTTTCCTGACATTAATTGTTTTCGTTCACTCACATACATGTAGAAAATCCATGTCTTACAATATTGTGCTACACACAAGGAACTGACCATTCGATGCTCAAGGGGGATTATTTCTTCCTGAGGTTTGGAACTGGCTAGATATTTTGTTTAGCTACAGATAAGATTATGAGCCAGAATGAAAAATAAAAAGGCTTCCAGTAATAAAGTATGTTTTGAATCATAATGATTCTTTTACAAAGATTTTGAATAAACATAAAATACATATCTGCTTTCTCCGAGCTATACATTCATATTCACTGTTCTACTCTTCTAACATATTTACAATACTTAAACAAAAAATGTCACATGGTTACTATAGAAATTCCCTAGACACTAAAACTGAGACGTTTACACTATTTCATAGGTTTGGTGCCATCCTTTACAACAAATCTTTAACTAAATGAAAAATTATTCAAGTAGGCAGGGCGAGAGAAATATTTCTGAGCGATATAATCTTGAAAGTAACATATGATAAACTGACATAACACAGAATCCCATGGAATGATAATTTCACAAAAGACTTAAAAATCAAAATCGCCATAAATTTAAACATAGATTACATAACTTACAGAAAAAATAGTTCCAGAAAATGCAGAAAGAATATGACTATTTATAATACGATATTATTGTCTTTTAATAATAAAACAAATTTATAAAGTTTATTTGATATGAATATATAAAATATGTATGAAAAGCTTGATATTTTGATTATATCAACGTCTTTGCCAGATTGCAATGAAACAAGTGGAAGCCCTTATACAATATTAACAAAGCATAACTTATCAAAATGATCTAATTAAAGGTACAGGTACATTGAGAAAACAAAGAATACACATAAACACAAATTTATGTCCCATAGGGGCGGTGGGGTAGCCTGGTGGTTAAAGCGTTCGCTCGTCACGCTGAAAACCCGGGTTCGATTCCCCACATGGGTACTATGTGTGAAGCTCATTTCTGGTGTCCCCCGCAGCGATATTGCTGGAATATTGCTAAAAGCGGCGTAAAACTAAACTCACTCACTCACTATGTCCCATAAATGAACAAGTACCAAAGAAGGGAGATAACTTTTCCTGCCTGGATGTCCAAGTTATAATACACATCAAACGTTTACGTGAGGTGAGGTGAAATTGGGTTTAACGTCGTGCTTGAGAATATTTCGCTCATATGACGACGTGC